AGCCTGACCCCAGGAGGTCCAGGGTGGAAAGAGGGGCGGCTGCCTGAGGCCCCTTGGACCTCTGAACCCAGGCTTGTGAGTGTGCCTTTTCACACAGGCAGGCACGACGCTGCATCCCAGGCTCCAGGAGGGACCCGTGTCCGCATCCGTCCACATCCATCCCTGGGCTGGGACTGGCCACCTTGGCCCAGGCTTTGGCCAGTGCTCTGCTGCGTGGTGGAATCTGGCTGGCTGCTACCCTTTCACGGCTTAGTGATTCCAGAAAGGGGTGTAGAGGGGAGCCCCATTTAGGAAAATGTGGTTTCCTGTTACCCGTGCAGGGAGGGGCCGAAGTGCCTCTCTGACCTATGGGTGGAGAGGCATATGGGCTGCCTTGGCCTTGACAGGGCCAAGACCAGAGGAGGCGACGTGTGGGTGCTGGGAGTTAACCCGGGAAAGCACCCGAGCCTTCCCGCCTTGGCCTGCTCCACGCAAGAGCGACTGCCCAGCGTGACTTGTCTCACCTCTGTTCCCACGCGGTGAGAGTCACTGCCACAACATGAAGACAGAGACATGACATGAAAACGCCCCGTGGCTGTCTCTGAACCCTCCGCAGCTGGCTCCGAATTCGGGACTGAGCCAGGCGGACGCTCCCTTTGGGGAGAAACACCGGCTGATGGGGCACTCGGTTCTTTCCTTTGCTCATCCAGTGAGACTTGATTAAGCGCTTTCTGTATGCTAGGCACATCAAAAGAGGGGCCAGGAGGCTGAGAATTGGGTCCCTTGGCGGTGGCTGGGGGGTGGGGTGGGAGGGCAGCATCTCAGGTGGGCTGAGATGCCCAGGTTCTCCTGGCTGTCGGTGGGCGTGTGACCCTCTGGAGGAAGGGTCCCCAGGCTCCTCTTGCCTTGGGGCATGGACCCGCCCACCAAGGGCTCCAGGGCCAGGCCGGGCCCATGCCGTGGGTTCACCTGCTCCATGCTGCTCTTGGGGACCCACCAAGCCACCCTCTCAGGGCAGGGTGGTGTCCCCTCTGGTCATGGTGGTGTCCTGGCGCTGTGGCAGAGTCCGGCATGTAACAATTACCTGAGTATTTCTGACGAAAGCGTGCAAGAGCTGGCCCTCAAGTGGCGTCAGGAGGGCGGAGGGCTGGCAAGCTCCTTGCAAGGTTGGCAAGGGGCTGGGTGGAGGTCCCTGCGGGGGGTGGGGTTTGTGAACTCATCACCGTGTTAGGGCTGTGACCCCAAATACCCAAGTCCCCAGCTGCCTCCACTCCGTGCACGGCCTGCTGGTCAGCGCGTCTGCCCTCCCGGCTAGACGCGCTATGTGAGAACCGGCCAAGATCCCCTCCCAGCCACTCTCCCTTCCCCACATCTTGCTGGCTCCTCCTTGGGCTAGGCTGGGTCTTAGGGCTGGAACAGAGGGTGACACCACGGTGGTCCCTTCTCCAGAATCTGTGGAGTGTGTTGGGCACAAGTCAGGGAGGCCTACAAGTAATGGAGGCCTGGAAATGTCACACGTTACCAGGAGGTTGTGTGTCGTCTCTGGGAAGCCCCACCCAGCACCCGGAGTGGGACTCATGTTGTCCCCAAGAGGAAAGAGCAGGACCCGTGAGGGAAAATGACAGAAGGCTGCACTGGATGGGGGGGCTATTGGGGAATTCACTTGGGGAAGTGGTATTGGGGTCAGGACTGAGGCTGAGGGACACCTGACCCCGGAGGGCGGAAGAGAAGCTTCCTCGGGACCAGGGCCAGCACATGCAAAGGTCCTGGGGCAGGCCCTACCCTGGGCAAATCTGAATATTTTCTGGACATTTGGGGACCTAAAAGCAAATCTCTGTGGCTTGAGCCCAAAAAGCAAAGATGAGGGTGGTGTGGAGGCTGGCAGTGGGGGGGTGGGGGCCTCGGGAGGGTGTGGAGGGCGCTGAGGCTGGGCGTGGGTGGTGTGGAGGCCTCGGGAGGGTGTGGAGGGCGCTGAGGCTGGGAGTGGGGGGGGGCGCCTCGGGAGGTGTGGCAGGGCGCTTGAGGCTGGGGTGGCGGGGTGGGGGCGCTCGGAGGGTGGGAGGGCGCTGAGGCTGGGCGTGAGGTGGTGTGGAGGCCTCGGAGGGTGTGGAGGGCGCTGAGGCTGGGAGTGGGGGGGTGGGGGCCTCGGGAGGGTGTGGAGGGTGCTGAGGCTGGGAGTAGGGGGGGAGCGCCTCGGGAGGGAGCGTCAGGCTGGGAAGTAGATCCATTGCCAGCCCGGTGAGGAGTTCTAAGTGGGAAAGCAACACGTTCTGGCTTGTGCTTTAAAAGCAGCCTTGGACCTCAGCTTGGAGCCGGACGGGAGGGTGTGCGAGGAGCTGGGACGCCAGTTAAGAACTTGGGGATGGGTCTGGGGTACCTGAGAGACCGGCAGAGCAGATGGATGTGGGATCTTGGAAGAAAGAACCCCAGACTTGTGGGGGTGAAGGGCTCCCGCCCGAGTGTGGCTGGCACTGCTCCCCTCTGCTGTAAAGGAGCCAGCCGGCCGCCCAGGGAGGGCCTGGGTACAGCTCCCTCAGCCCTGGAGACGTGCCCCTCACAGCCCCGGGTCGGCCCTGCTGCTCTTGCTGGCTCCTTCCTGCTGCTCTGAACTGGAACCTCAGGCCCGGCTGGACCCTGCCCCTGTGACCCGGAAGCCTCCCAAGGCCCTGGGCAGAGGCCACCTGCCTCTGTTCTGACCCTGCCTTTGTTCAGCCCCCGGACTGGACACTTGGTACCTCGCAGCCTGTCCCGAGCCCTGGGGAGGCACCGGCTTCATCTAACGCTCTGCCAGGTGGTGGAACCTGGTCATGTCAGCGGGTTGGGGACCTCGGTCCACGGAGAAAAGTAGCCGTGCCAGGGCCAGACGCTTCTCCCCAGAACGGAGGCAGGGCGGGGAGGGTGAGCTCTGGAGCAAACCAGCCTGATGAGACCAGGCAGCCCGCAGGGACAGGCCCAGTGCCCCGCACCCCACCCTCCATAGGGAGGGTCTTGTCCAGGCCAGCTCAGTTACCCTGGTGGGGGGCTCTCGGGAGTCCAGGGTGCTGAAGGGCACTGAAACCATGCTTGGAGAAGAGCCGATCCCAGAAGGCAGGGGAGCGAGGCAGAGCTCCAGACACCCACAGTGAACAAATGGATCCTGGCCCTTGGCAAATCCGAATACTGTCTCGCTGGTTAGTAACAGCGTCCACTGAGCCGCCAGCATCCCCAGTGGGGGTGGGGCTGGTGAGATGCTGGCGCCTCTCTTCCCTCTTGGGTACCATGAGCCTGTGGCTGCCGGGCAGGAAGGTGTGCTGACCTTTGGCTTCTGGGTTTACTGACCCCAGTCCACCTGCGGCTGCTCCCTGCCTGGGCACCGCCCCCTGCTGTTTCTGCACGGCTACTCCTGGACATTGGCCTGGGACTGGGGCCTGAGGCTGTCTTACTGCCCTTGGCCTCAATGTTAGAGTCTTAGGTATGGCCCTGTGGCCCCAAGTCATGTGGTGAGGTATCCAGGACAGGAAAGGAAGCTACTGGGGTCACTCTGAACATCTCCCCACCCTACCCAGAAAGAAGCTTCCAGGCTTAGAAACCTGCCTTCAGCCTTTGACTACTGGCCAGACCCCCAAGGGTTCCTGCCTCACACTGGTGGGGTCTGGCTGCTGGCCCTGCCCACGAACCTGGGTGAATTCACTGGCCATGTTCCTTTGTCTGCGGAATATCTTGTGGGACTCCAGCAAACGCTCTTCTCCTGCTGCCGCTGCCATTTTGTAAGGTCTCAGCGTGTCCACCCCATGGTCGGTGTGGTCTGTGCAGTTGAAGTCAAGGCTGACCAATCTGGACCCTCAGCCACCACAGGCCACAGCCAAGGCAGCCTTCTGGGTAGAGACAGCACTTAGGTGACCCTCAGCTGGGTTCTGCAAGCCACTGCTGCCCCGTCAACCAGCATGGTTCCACCTGGACTTACCCGTGACCTTGCCTGAGCCTGTCAAGGAGATAGGGTTGGGCTGGGCAGGGGACACCACGCAGAGGAGGGTGGGTGGGCTGGGGAGGGGAGCATCTGGGCAGGGTCCAGTCAGTGGCCCAGGCCTCTGGGAAGGACCAAGGACCTGGGGGCGTCCACAGGTGCCGGCTCTCTGCTCTCATTGGTCTGTTGCTCTTGTCCTTCATGCGCGGAGCCTGTGCCAGGCCCTGGGAGGGCAGTGGGGGAGAAGCGAGGGCCTCAGGCTTGCCCTTAGGTGACCCAACACTGTTGGTTTGAGGAGGAGGAGGCAGGGCTGGGGCAGAGGAAGTGGGAGAGAGGCCGAGTCCCCTGTCCCCTATCTTCAATTGGTGAAAGTGTCCTGACTCCCAGAGGCTGCCTGCCCTCTCTGGCTCCTGGCCCTTCCATCCTCAGTCTTCCAGTCTCTGACCTCGCCTCCTCCCTCTGCCTGGATGCTCTTTCCCAGAGTCTGTGGCCTCACTGTGTTCCCTCCAGGTCTTCACTCAGACTTCATGTTCTCCCGAGGCTTTCCCAGAGCAGCCCTGTGTCCAGCCTGCCCCGTGCTCTTCTGAGGCCCCCTGGCCAGCTTGAGCTGTGGGCTGTCCCTGCTGGCCCAGGGCCTTTGCTCTGCCACCGATGCGTCCCAGAACCTCGCCCAGCGCATGGAGGCGTTGGGTAGGTGTGGTGGGCTGGCCGGGTGCGGTCAGTGTCCTCTCCGCAGGTGTCCTCAGCGTGGCGGTGCTCGGTGAAGTGACTTTTGTGTTCTGTGTTGCACTGTTAGGAACATAGTGAAGAAATTCACACCCTTGCTTCATTCTGGCCCTAGTCATGCAATAGTAGCCCCCTTAATAGCTCCTACCCAGGAGGAAGGACCGGATGGGGACCAGTGTGTGTCCCGCTGTGTGAGCACCCTGTACCTTGGAGGAAGGTCAGGGCTCAGGTCTGCTTACAGAGCAGAGACCCTTCTGCTGTTTCTGAGTCAGGCACCCCTGCCCCAGCATCCCAGAGTCAGAGGGCCATGTGGACATGAGGGATGGTCACCTGGCTATTCTCTCCCCCATAGAGGAGGAGCTCCGGAAGCTGCGAGAAGAAACCAATGCGGAGATGCTGCGGCAGGAGCTGGACCGGGAGCGGCAGCGGCGGATGGAGCTGGAGCAGAAGGTGCAGGAGGTGCTGAAGGCCAGGTACCCTGCCTTCCTCGGGGCCCTGGCCTGTGTGCGGCTTTCCCAACCCCCCACCCCACTTGCCCCGCCGGCCTCTGCTGCACCCATAGCATCTTGGCAGCAGTGTTCTTGGCCCTGGAGAGGCCTGAGAGTGAGGGTGGGCCCGGCTCCGACTTCCCAGGTGTAGGTCCTGCCTATACCTGCATGAGCCCTGGTCCTGGGAACATGGCATCTTCCTGTGCCTCTGGCAGTCTGGAAAAGGGGGACCTTGGCACAGGTGTTCCTGCCAGCTCCCAGGCCTGGGGCCAGGCCGACTGAAGAGAGGCTTGGCATGGGACCTGCAGAGCCCCAGAGCCACCTCGTGGCCCTGATCGTGGCCTGCAGGTGACCCCGTTCTGTGCGTCCACCCATTGCCCCATCCTGAGGGCCGGCCCGGCCTCTTAGAATCTTCCTAGGACCTGCCCTCCCAGCACTGTCTGTGCGTGTTCCCATCTGCCCTGTCTGCTCCAGCCGCACTGCAGCCCCTCAGGGTGCCCTGTGGCCCCTGCCCCCATCCCGGCAGGATCATGCCGCCCTGGCTCATAGAGGGCATGTCTACAGCCGACGTCTTTGCTCTTGCCTGTGGGTCCCATGCGGGGCCCTGAGTGCTCACAGCCTCCTCCCTCACCCTGCCCTGTGCCTCACAGTGCCGCCAGCAGGAAACAGGTCATTCAGGACCCCAGCGCAAGTTACAAAGCCAATGCCCTCCTGTCTCACTAACACCACGAGGCTCTGTGTCCTTCTGCACAAGTTCAAACTGGTGCCCGGTGGATGAGGCCAGGGAGCTCAGGCCTCACCTCTGGCTCCCAGGCCTCCCGCTCAGCCTCCACTCCAGCAGCCTCCTGCTCCAGCCTCCCTCTCAGCCTCCACTCCCTCAGCCTCCCCCCTCGGTCTCCACCCTCAGTTTCCGCTCAGCCTCCCCTCTAGCATCATCTTCAGCCCCTCTCCTCAGACTCCACTCCTTCAGCCTCCCCACTTAGGTTCTACCCAGCCTCCACTTTCAGCCTCCCTCCAGCCTCCACTCACTCAACCTCCCCCTTAGCCTTCCCACTCAGCCTCCTCCCGGGTCTCCCATCTCAGCCTCCCCCACAGCCCCCTCCTGCAGCCTCCCACCACCACTGGCCACACCTTTGTCCATGGCCCCCATGACCCACATGGATGGCTCTCACCGGTTAGGGATGCACACAGCATCTCTGGGACACCCCAGCTGAGCACAGACTGCCTGCTCCGGGCACTCCAGGGGCCATGTGTCATTGTCAGGGCTCCACGTGTCGCTGCTTAGCTGGCCCTGAGGAAGCGGCTCCCTTCAGCACCCTCAGGTTTAGTGTGTGGGAAGACGGGGGGTCTGCTGGGCTGGCTCCCACTTCTTCCTTGCCCACCTCCTGCAGGTCAGCATGACCTTGTGGAGTGCCCTGGGGGGCTCACGTGGGGGCATCCAGCTAGTGTGGGGGAGGGAGAGGCCTCACTTTCCTATTCCACCCTGGCAGAACCTCCCAGACCAGAAATGGGTGCATGGGCCTCAGCAGGCGCTTTACCTGATGCTGAACCTGCTGTGAAAATCCACAGAAGCTCAAAGCTTAAATTACATTTAATTATGTAGAGGTGCAACAGAGACCTGACCTGCCACGCTGAGAGATCCCAGGGACAGGTGCAGTCCCTAGGCATTTGGCCACAGTGCCATCCCCCCGATGGGGCGCTGCTTCTCCCAGGTGGCTAAGGTGGCCTGAGGCTGTCCCTGCGGCCCTGCTCCCTATGTTCTGTTTCCCGTCCTCTCACCCCCGCCAGCCCCACTCCGGGATCTGGTCTTCATCTTTTACCAAAGCCCCTTGGTGGCCGGTGTGTGCAGCCCGGGTCAGCTGTGAGGACACAGGGAGCCCCATCTCACACAGTCTCTGCCTTGGGAATGGGTGGGGAGTGGGCAGTAAGGGAACATCCAGGCTGTGACCCAGGAAGTGGAAGCTGAAGGTCCTGAGAGTATTAAGGGCCCTCCCCTGCTTTACATGGGGGTGGTGCTTAGGAACCTTTTGGAAGCCTGGAGGAGGAGGGGTAAAGGAAGAGCAGTCCCAGACAGAGTGACCTCCTCTTTCCTTGTCATCCTGGTACAGATCTGGGGTGGGTCTGGGTGGCTGTGGTCTGTCCAGGGTGGGTAGGTGTGTGAGGGCACACACAAACAGATACATGTGCGCGCACACTGCACACACACACACACCACACCCCTTGAAGCTGCAGGATTAAAGCACAGCAATTCTGTTTATGCAAACTTCTATATTGGTTTTTAAGAAAATTCTCAGAAAGTCACCTTGGTTTAAGGCTACTTGTTGGTGGGCAGAGGTTCTCTCCATTGTGGGTCCAAAGCCCACTGAAAACCTCGCCGTTTGCTTCCTGCCTGCCGCTTACCTGGCCCTGCCCTGTGCTCCGCCCTCTGTTCTCTTCTCAGGGTTTTCTCCTCCCCCAGCTTCCTCCCTCCCCACTCCCGCTCCCCAAGAGTTAGGAAGGTTAGGGGCGACCACACAGCACTTGACCCCGTTCTGTGCTGCACCTGCTCATGAGCCTTGGCTGGAGGGGCTGGGTGTGGGACGGAAGCAGACCCTAGTGGCTGTCTAGTGACTCTGCCCAGACCAGGCAGGTCGCTGGAGTAGGCTGAGCTGGGAGCTGGGCACAGGCTGCTGACAGGCGGCACCCAGCCTGTTGCCTAGCATGGTACCTGATAAATACATGTGTGTCGATCAGTATCTTTTCATTAGCAGACAGGTTGGTGATAGGAAAGTATTCTGAGCTTAATGACGAAGAAAGAAGCAAGTGTGCTAAAATGAATAGGAAAGAGTGGTGAGAACCATTATTCGGTTGTTTAAAAACAGAACGTGTGCCTGTTAGGAAGGCAGCTCTGCACTTGCCTGTGTACGCTCGGAACCAGCATTTGAGCGGTGGGGACTCCGGAGACAGTCTCGCTGTCCCTGAGCCCTCCTGTGCAGCACACGGCCGCAGGAACCCTGGGGGGTGCCTGACTTGGCATGGAGTTTGGAACTAACAGACCTTTTGTCTCTTCTCCCCCTGCTTTTTAAGAACCGAGGAGCAGACGGCTCAGCAGCCCCCAAAAGGGCAGGCCCAGGCCAGCAATGGAGCAGGTACACCCTCCCTGGTGGGCAGGTGGACAGGCGGGCGGGCAGGCGGGTGCACATCACCTGCTGGTTCTGCAGGCCCAGGTTAACAATGGAGCAGGTACCCCCAGCAGGCGGGCGGGCAGCAGGTGCTGGTTCTGTGCCCAGGCACCTGCTGGCATCCGGGAATCTCCTCCCGTCAGAACTGGGTTAGTGTCTCTGAGGCGAAGTGGTGAGTCACCATAGTCATCGTCGCAAATTTCTAGTCACTCAACTGAAGCGTGATTGTGTGTTCTTTGGGGAATACGCTCGTTCTCGGTTTCAGCCTTGCCCCACGGAACAGTGATGTGAGCGCTGCACTGGTCACTGCCACCGCCCTGGTGCCTCCCAGAACGGACCAAGTGGGCAGTGGGGCCGTGGTTGGCTGCGAGTGGGGAGTGAGGGGCCACGTGCCCTTTTTTCTCGCTCCTCGTCCTCCATCCCTGAGTGCCTGTTCTTTATCTTGCCCCACACCCTGCAGGCAGCTGGCACAGTTCCCTGTACCTGGGGGTCAGCAAACTCCAGCCCCCGCCTGGCTTCACAGATTTAAATGGTTTCATTTCATCACATGAGAACATTATGTAAACCTGAAATTTCAGTCCATAAGTAAAGTCCACGGGAACACAGCTGGGCCGGTTCGCTGACGGCTGGGACGAGTGTGCCGATCTCGCCTGGACCCTCCCCTTAAAAACTCTGCCAGGCTGCAGTGGGGGTCGGAAGAAGCCGCAGGAGCCTGCCCTGGCCCCATCCTTCCTGCCCGGGTGGCCTTGGGGTGCACAGACCTCAGCCCCCTTGGCCTGTGGCTCTTGAACCTCTGCCCTGAGCCCGCAGCCTCCTGGATATGGTGACTACAGGCCCTCTGGTCCCAGGGCCTGAAACTGTGGCAAGGCAGCACCTGCTGCAGGCGGCTCCTCACTGGCCTTCTGAAGGGAGGAACTGGCCTGTACCCCTGAACCCCCGTTCTGAGGGATTCTTCCGGTTTTCCGCGATGGAGGCTGCTTTCTAGAGGTCTTAGCTTTTTGAGAACAGTGCTGGTCATCAGCACATCACCATGCGCTCAGCCTGGGCTGGCTTCGCTCGCCGGGCACCCCCAGCCCAGAACACAGCTTCCTGCCTTGCCATCCATTGGCTGATGCCCAGGATAGGCAGAGCTGGGGCAGTGACCCCTCCAGCTACTTTCTGACAACCCGGAGGTAGAAAGGGGGTTTGATGCAGACCACTGAGGTGGGCCAAGCAGCCTGGATGGACGGGCTGCCCTCTGATGAGAGCCCAGGGCAGGCAGAGAGCTGGGGCCAGGGCATGGAAAGCAGAGAGAGCCTGCACTGAGGTCTTCATGGCCGGGGCAGCTCTGCTCTGTGCCGGTTGGTTTGCACTTGTGTCTTCAGAGGACTGAGCCCTTCAGAGTCCCTTGTACAGGGCCCCTTCATTTCCCTGCCCCACCCCCAAGCATTCCTTGTGCCCCTGCCGGCCGCGCCCTTGCAGTGAGGCCCCTGCCTGCCCTGAGATTCCGGGATCGACCCCAGAACAGGCTGTGCAGCCCTGCCATGCCCTCACCAGGCCCCTGCCCCCTGCAGAGCGCCGGAGCCAGGGGCTGTCCTCACGCCTGCAGAAGTGGTTCTACGAGCGGTTTGGGGAGTACGTGGAGGACTTCCGGTTCCAGCCCGAGGAGAACACTGTGGAGACGGAGGAACCCCTGAGCGCCCGCAGGTAGGGGTCGCCGAGCCTGGGGCTGCCTGTGCATTAGGGGCCCCAGTCCCTGGGCGGAGGCTTCAGCGGGTAGGCCAGCCTTTATCACCATGGGCCAAAGCTGTCCGTGAGGCTGCCGCGAGCAGCTGGAGGCTCCACTGTGTCCGGTCTTCTGGAGGCCATGCCTGGCAGGGGCTCGCAAGGCCCGCTTAGGTGCAGCAGAGCTGCGTGCACCCACTCCGCTCTCAGCCATGGCTTGTGACAGTTGTATGGGGACTCGGGGGCTCAGCCCACTGCCCGGGGCCTTCCTTGGCTCTTGAGTCCTTTCAGTAAACCTTGGCTCCCCTGCCAGGCGCTGCCATGGGCCCTGGGGATCCCGACGGAGCGAGGCCAGCAAAGGCCCTGCCCTTGAGGACTTCTGTTCTGGGGACACAGGCAGGAGTCGAGGGGACGATTTTGTTGGCAAGTCGCCCCCACCTTCCTAACTTGGGGAGCGGCACTGAGGGCCATCCCGGTGCCCCCTGCTGTGCTGGCCACCGTGCAGGGCCGTTCTGTGCACTCAAGGGGCCCCAGGCTGTTGAGACGCCCTCCTTGGCCCCTGCAGAGCCAGCGGAACTGGGCAGTGGGGACTGCAGAGCCGGTGGATGCGTTAACCCTGGGCTCCCATCTCTCCCCTTCTCTCTTAGGTTAACTGAAAATATGAGACGGCTCAGTGAGTACCCGCGGCTCTGCGTGGCACCCATGGTGCCCAGTGTGGGTGGGGCCCATGGCAGTGGGGACTCTGGGATTCTGAGCCAAACTGACTCTCCAGGGAGACGTGGTTAAGGGGCCTCCTGGCCACAGTGCTGATCACTGCGGTCTGCTCTGTCCCCAGAGCGTGGTGCCAAGCCTGTCACTAACTTTGTGAAGAACCTCTCTGCCTTATCCGACTGGTACTCCGTCTACACGTCTGCCATCGCCTTCACCGTGAGTGGGTCCTCCAGTGGCCGAGCAGGGTGGGTGGGACGTGCCTGCCAGCATTCATCACATGATCAGGCACCTTCTGGAGTGGGAGATAGCCCCCAGGTGGCACTTCTTTGGGCCCCAGGGACATGCTCATTTCTCCTTCTGTAAAGTGGGTTCAGTGATGCCGGCACCTGCCAGGGGGTGGCTTCAAGGATCAAAGACGATGGGCATGGCCCAGGACTAGCCTGCACGGCTCCCTGGACAGGGCTGTGGTGCAGCCTCGTCCCCCAGGGTGCCCTCGGGAAAGGCCTCTTGGCACTCACCATGCGGTGCAGGGGCCACACTGCTGAGGTCCAGAGTACCTGGTGCTGGGGCCAGGGGCACCTCACAAGGGCACAGCAGCGTGAGGGTCCCAGCCCGGCCCCTGTGAGCCACTAGTCCTGAGGGATTGGAGGACGCCGGGGCCCACATTGCGGGGCCTTGGGGAAAAGGGGCCCAGCCACCCTGCCTGGAACTGCCCTGCCACGGCTGCCACCTGCCCTGCAGAGACTTGCCACCTATGTCTCAGTACTTCGTCCTCCGGGGGATGCCCCTGACCCGGGGTGGAGGCTGTGCCTCCAGCACGAGGAGGATGCAGGCAGCCCACCCGCTTGCTGAGGCCTCCAGGCCAGAGAGGAGGCCTCCACAGCCTGACACTGTCTGGGGCTCCTGAGGGCAGCACTGCCCTGCCGAGTGGGCCCCTTGGGAGAGGTCCCCAGATGGCCTCAGCCTGGGTCAGGCTCTCCAGGGAAGTGCGTGGCCCTGTGCCTGCCCCAGGCACTTACTGCCCACCTGGGACATGGGCACTTTGTACACTCACAGATGAAGGCTGGGTGCTGGGGCCACCCGCTCCACCCCGGCCCTGGAAGGCCTCTTCTCCCACCACCCCTCACAAATGCTTTGCGACGGGAGGCCTTTGCTGCCTGGGGTCCCACACGCCCCTGTGCCGTGTCTGTTGTCACTAAGAGATGAGCCCAAGCTTTGGACCAGCCTTCCAGGCCTCACCTCCGTCCTCTGCCCTGTCTGCACATCTGCTCTTTGTCCCGGGCTCTGTGCTGGGCACACACGGTGCCTGGCATGAAGGTGGCCCTGGGCATGCACCTGTCTCGCCCTCAGCAGTGCTTGGCCGCCTTGCCCGGCCAGGCTGAGTCCTGGTGATGCCCCAAGTCTGGAGCGTGGGAGCCACACCGGGGCGAGCGGGATCCCCGTGTGGAATCAGCCGCCGTCTTCTGTCTCCAGGACACGCTTCTCCCTGGGTGGCTCCTTGCTTCCACTGGCAGCTCTTAAACTAGGGAAGCAGCCCTTCCTCCAGCTTCCCCATCAGACGCGCCCTCGTCCCTGAGTGTCTGGAGAGCCGGGGGGGTGGCCTGGTCTCCCCCCTGGGGCCTCCTGGTTGCGGGAGGTGGGAGGGATGTGCCTTGTCCTGATCCAAGCTGTCAGGAGGCCTAACGCCCCGTCTCTCCCCTGCAGGTGTACATGAATGCCGTGTGGCATGGCTGGGCCATCCCGTTGTTCTTATTTCTAGCAATTCTGAGGTTATCCCTCAATTACCTCATCGCCAGGTAGGTGAGCCGGTTTGTTGCGGCCGCTTTATCCCACTACGTGCGTGGCCGTGCTGTCTCCCTGTGTCTCACACAACCGTGACCCCAGCTGGGTATGTCATGCACTGACATTTCAGGGGTGGCCCCCCGACAGGCTGCAGAGACCCCCAGGCAGGGCGGCTCCCTGGTTTGCTAGAGATGGTAGTGGGAAGTTCCCAAATCCCCCAGCACCTCCTTCTGTGGGCGGCCAGCAGAGCCAAAGCCGCTCCTGCACCTGCCTGAGCATCGCAGGGGACTTCTTCGCAACCTCAGTGGGTGGGTGGGTGAAGCAAGCAGGGCCGCACACCCCAGAAGGTTCCTGCTGGCTGCCTGTTGGAGATGAGCCTGCTGGGGAGGAGCTGGACTGGGAAGGAGTGCCAGTCGCCTGCAGGCAGCCCGCCCGTGTGACCGACACGTTAGCCCCGGCCTGAGTCAGGGCCCTCGCATCACTCCTTCTACCCCCTCTGAGCACTCCCTTCCTGTGGAGACTGAGTGGGGCTCCGGGAAGCCCACGCCCTGGGGCAGACCCCTAGTCCTAGCACTCCTTGGTCCTTCTTAGCCTACGGTTACCCCCAGGACTGAACTTCAGCCTTGTGCCGGGGCTGAGGGAGGAGCTGCGATTCCATACTTTGACTTGGCCATTCAAAAGTTTGCACTTTTATGCAGCAGTGTTTCCAGATGGTTCTCTGTGCCTGCCCCAGTTGGCTCATTTGAAAACGTTTTTTGTAGAAATCACTTAAATACTCTGGAAGGTGTCATTGGCACCCAGCATTGGGGCGGGACCCCTTTGGCTGGTGGATGTTGAAGGGCCGCCCTTCCTGATACCTCTGGCTGCTATTAAATATGTCCCCTCTACCCAGAAGGGCCCTAAGGGAGGGGTTGGTGAGGGTGATAGGAGTTGTCTGCTCTTACAGCAGGGGGTTCTGGGGGCCCTTTTCTCCCCATTAGGCAGCATAGAAGGACCTAGAAGGACAAAGAAGGGCCCCCTCCAAGGCCAGCTGGGCGTGTAGGGCTGGTGATTCGATGCCATCCCCTGACTCAGGTGGCACTGTCATAAGGGTATGTGTGTTTTTTGTTCACCAGGGGCTGGCGGATACAGTGGAGCATCGTGCCGGAAGTGTCTGAGCCCATGGTAAGTCCCTGGAGGGTGCACAGTCTCCTCCGACTGTCTCCGTCACACCAGGCCTCTCAGCCTGTGGGCACCTCTCGGGGAAGCCTCTGGATGAGGCCATGTGGTCATCCCCCGGGAGCCCTGCCCTGGCCCGAAGAGGAGGGGGAGGAGGAGGCCAGCCCCTCCCTGGCCCCAAGCCCTGGGAGGGTGTGTGCCCCGCCCCGCTTGCTAGGCCAGGCTTGGCTGTGCAGGAAGCTGGCTGCCTGGCCCTGGCCTGTCCTAGCTGAGGCTTCCCAGCTGGGATGTGATGTGGCAGGGGCAGGGGACACTGAGGGGCTGCTGTAGCCCCCGCAGCCTCCCCAGTTAGGGCGGTGAACAGCGGGCTGGACAAGAGGACCTGTTCCCCTCTGAGGTGCAAGAGCCCACCTCTCGGAGGTTGCAGTGAGCCGAGATCCCGCCACTGCACTCCTGCCTGGGCGACAGAGCAAGACTGTCTCAAAAAAACAAACAACGACAACAAAACACCCACCTCTGGCCCACTGCCTAACTTTGTAAATACAGTTTTATTGGCCGGGCGCGATGGCTCACGCCTGTAATCCCAGCACTTTGGGAGGCCGAGGCGGGCGGATCACGAGGTCAGGAGATCGAGACCATCCCATCCCGGCTCACACAGTGAAACCCCATCTCTACTAAAAATACAAAAAACTAGCCGGGCGTGGTGGCGGGCGCCTGTAGTCCCAGCTACTCGGAGGCTGAGGCAGGAGAATGGCTTGAACCCGGGAGGCGGAGCTTGCAGTGAGCTGAGATCCGGCCACTGCACTCCAGCCTGGGCGACAGAGCGAGACTCCGTCTCAAAAAAAAAAAAAATACAGTTTTATTGGCCATAGACACACCCATTCACTTACACACCGCCGTGGCTGCTTTTGCACGACGGTTGAGTAGCCGACAGACCACGTGGCCCTGGAAGCCACAAATATTTACTACTGGCCCTTTACAGAAGTTTGCTCTAGAGGGAGACCTCAGCCCATGGGGCGAGACCACTGGGCATGGGCAGAAGGGAGGCCTCGGTGCCTCCACGGGCCTAGTTGGATATCTCAGTGCCTGTTTCTTACATGGAGCACCAGGGGTAAGGAGAAGTGCCTGGAAGAGGCGGGCTGTTGCTCGCCCAGCACTGGGACCCGGGAGACCTTAGGAGGCTCTTAATGAATGGGAGACAAGCAGGACCAGAGCTCCCATTGGCTGGGCCTCAGTTTCCCTGCCTGTAAGTGAGGGAGGACAGCTGTGAAGGTGAACTGTGAGGCAGAGCCTCTGCTCAGCCATTGCAGGGGCAGCTCTGCCCCACTCCTGTTGTGCGCCCAGAGTGAGGGGCACAGGGTGAGATGTCACCATCAGCCCAGAGGGGTGTCCTCCTGGTGCCAGGTCCCCAAGGGATGTCCCATCCCCTCTGGTTGTGTGGGGACAGCGGAGTCCCTGGGGCTGTGAGGGCTCCACACTGTTTTGTCAGTAGTTTTTCTGAACTGTTAAATTTCAGTGGAAAATTCTCTTTTCCCTTTGACTGAAGGAACCTCCAAAGGAAGACCTGACTGTGTCTGAGAAGTTCCAGCTGGTGCTGGACGTCGCTCAGAAAGCCCAGGTACTGCCACGGGCACCAGCCAGGGGTGTGTGTCTGTGTCGGCCACGGGCGCGAGCCAGGGGTGTCTCTGCACTGGCCAGGGGTGTCTCTGTGCCAGGGATGTGCCTTTGCTGGCCAGGGGTATGTCTCTGCCGGCCTCAGCTGCCGCCCGGGGAGGTCCGTGCCTGACACTGCAGGCCCGGTTTGCCTGCTGTCAGCTGACCTGTAGTCACCCTGCCCTTGGTTGGTCATTACAGTAACTCTGGTGGGTGGGGAAGGGGCCTCCTGATTCAGCCTCTGCGGATGATGGGCCAGGGTCTGAGTGGAGCCCCCCTCCGTCTCCCCAGGGGAGCCCCTGGCCAGGGTTGAGCGCCCCTGGAAAGGACTCAGGCCTGGGTCTGCTGTTGCTGTGAGCATGGTCACCTCTGCCCTAGACCAGAGCTGCGCCTTCCCCGGCCTCGGAGCAGCTGGGCAGGACCACAGGGCTCTGGGTGACCTCAGGGCCGCCCGACCTGGAGGCCCTCCCGGCGTCGCGGTGTGACTGACAGCCCAGGCACGGGGGCTGCTGTAATCGCTGTTTCTCCTTCACGCAGAACCTTTTCGGCAAGATGGCTGACATCCTGGAGAAGATCAAGAAGTAAGTCCCGCCCCCCACCCTGGCCCGGCAGCGCCCGCCCGGCCTGAGCCTCCCGTCTCCTTCCAGCTTGTTCATGTGGGTCCAGCCGGAGATCACACAGAAGCTGTATGTGGCGCTCTGGGCTGCCTTCCTGGCCTCCTGCTTCTTCCCCTACCGCCTGGTGGGGCTCACCGTGGGTAAGGAGATGTACCTGTGGCCTGTAGCTTCAGGAGGGGGGACAAGAGTGTCTGTGTGCCACCAGTGTCTGCCAGGTGTCTGCAAGAACTGGCAATCCTTCCTCAGCTTTTTGTCACAAACGTTTCAATTTGGGAGAAGTGAAGCCCATTCGAGATCGAGGGACACGGTGATTGTTTCTTAAATCAAGAAACTCTCCGATTCCAAGGCCCCCGTGTCTCCTGCCAAGTGGGAGGAGTTGGAAGACCTAAGACCCAGGATAGCAGGCCCTGGGGGTGTCAGGGAGTTGCCCTGGGCAGGACACATCTCTGGGGGGCGCCCGTGGGCTCAGGGGTGACAGTCGCGGGGAGGCTGAGAGCCTGGTTTGATATGCGGGGAGGTTGGTTGTAGCTGATGAGTTTGGTAACATCACATGAAGCCAAGGGTCACATCCACTAAAACACTCATCTCATCCACTAAAACACTCATCTGCAGAGCTGGCTGTGGGGAAGGAGGGCAGCTGGTGGCGAGGACCAGACTGTGCCGGGAGGTAGGTGGGGTGTGGCGGCCCCTCCTCACCCCGGGAGGCACTTGTCCACTGCTGCCCAGTGTGCTCTCTTCCCTCCTTTCTCTTTTCTTTTTTCTTGCTTCCCTCTTTTCTCTGTCTTTCTGTTTCTCTTTGTTTCTCTCTCTCTCTTTTTTTTGAGACAGAGTGTCGCTCTGTTGCCCAGGCTGGAGTGCAGTGGCACGATCTTGGCTCACTGCAACCTCTGCCTCCTGGGTTCAAGTGATTCTCCTGCCTCAGCCTCCCAAGTAGCTGGGACTACAGGCGCCCACCACCACGCCCAGCTAATTTTTTTTGTATTTTTAGTAGAAACGGAGTTTCACCTTATTAGCCAGGCTGGTCTTGAACTCCTGACCTCAGGCGATCTGCCCCCCTCAGCCTCCCAAAGTGCTGGGATTATAGGCATGAGCCACTGTGCCTGGTCTCCTTTCCCTTCCCCTTCCCCTTTCCCTTCCTCTTCCCCTTCCCCTTCCCTCTCTTTTCCTCAGTACCAGCGATCCAGTGTCTGACATGGGCCACACACTGGCATGTGGGAGCGAGGCCGCCAGGGTCCTGTTCTTGAGGGGGCAGGTGGGCCCAAGCAGGACAGTGTGTGTGGTTGTGGGAGCTGCAAAGCCAGGGGTGGGGATTGCTCCGTGCTGGAGTCGGGAGTCAGACCCTAGCCTCTCAGCAGTCTGGGCTTGGCATGCCACTTAGAGGAGCAGTGGGGGACTGTGTCTGTGTGGAAGAGGAGATGCCCCCGCTGCTCCCCCGCCGCCCCCCGCCCCCCGCCGCTCCTCTGCCGCTTTTCTGAATGCCTTTGCTGTAACGCCAGCCTGACCCTAGTCCTGACCCAGCGTAACTGCTGGTGGGAGGACAGGCCTCTGGACGCTGCAGGGCTGAGCTCTCCAGCAACAGCTCATTGTGGCCATCAGGTGGCATCACCAGGAGTGGGCAGAGCCAGATTTGATCAGACCTTTCCCCTGACAATGCCCTGGAGCCCCTCTGGCTAGCACCCAGGACTCTAGGCTCCTGAGTGGGTAGTTGACCACCGTGACCTCCTGTTAGACCCCTGGGCTTGGGTCCAGGTGCCGAGGCTCCAGAGCTGCAGTGCACTTGGAGCCCTGGGCAGCTCCGGGGCAGGCCGCCCTCCACGGGGAGCCTGGGGGTGTGCACCTGGGTCTTGGTGTCCTGGATTTGCCCTGCTGTCCTTTTTTTTTCGAGATGGAGTCTCACTCTGTCTCACCCGGCTGGAGTGCAGTGGCACGATCTCCGCTCACTACAACCTCCGTCCCCGGGGTTTAAGTGATTGTTCTGCCTCAGCCTTGGGAGTAGCTGCAATTACAGGGGCGCACCACCACACTCACCCAATTTTTGTATTTTTAATGGTTTCACCATGTTGGCAAGTCTGGTCTCGAACCCCTGACCTCGTGATCCGCCCGCCTCGGCCTCCCAAAGTGCTGGGATTACAGGCGTGAGCCACCCCACCCGGCCCCTGCTTTCCTTTTTTGTGACAACCAGTGTGTTTGGGTTCTTGCAGCCACACTGAGATCACCACTGCCACTGGGCGGCGCTGACCCTGCCAGATGTGGGCCAAGGTGGCATTCCTGGCTCCTCAGTGCCCACGAGTCCTTTTGCAGTGCTGACAAGAGACCTCAGCTTAGAGGGGCAGAGGCTGCCCGCCCCAAGCAAGGATGGCCCCAGCTGGGAGTTGGGCTCTCTTGAGCTGAGCTGTCCCTCCCGGGTCGGGCACCACGTGGAGGGAGACCGGGGAGCTCCGTCCAGTCAGCCAAGAGGGTGGTTCTGGCCCTGCCCCTCCCTACACCTAGCATCTTTCAAGAATCAAGTTGTCCGGGCGCGGTGGCTCATGCCTGTAGTCCCAGCACTTTGGGAGGCCCAGGCGGGTGAATCACTTGAGGTCAAGAATTCGAGACCAGCTCGGCCAACATGCTGAAACCCCGTCTCTACTAAAAATACAAAATTTTTAGCCAGGTGTGGTGGTAGGTGCCCAGCTACTTGAGAGACGGGCAGGAGAATCGCTTGAACCCGGGAGGTTGCAGTGAGCTGAGATCGAGCCACTGCACTCCAGCCTGGGCAACAGAGCAAAGACTCCGTCTCAAAAAAAAAGAATCAACAAGTAGAGAACTGGGGTCAGAAAGTCTGACTTGATTGATGAATTTATGTGAAAATGTCCTACAAAGGCAAAAAACGAAACAAGGCACGGTTTTATCAATCCCCTTACAGCACTGATAGTACATGGAACTCTGACCCTGGGGCCCCTGCAGGGAGGACCTGCCACGTCTGGTCTGGTCTGGTGGGCCAGGCACTGTGGGCAGTGAGACAGCCCCCAGCACTGGGAGGGGCACCTGGAGAGACCGGAACTCCTGACAGCTTTCGCTGCCCAGAGGGGTGCGTTAGGAGGTGTGTGGGGGCCGGCCCCACCTGCCATCCCTGTGTCTGTTGCCGGGTGGGGTCCTGGGGCGCAGCCAGGCTCTGCTCTTCTGAGGTCATGCTTTGTAGGGGGACTGACCATGATTGTGTCAGGTGACAGTGCCCGGGAGAAAATGGAGCTGGCGGAGGGGAGCCTGTGAGGGCGTGGCTGGGAGCCGTCTGAGCAGGTGGTTGTGGGAGGCCGTCTGAGCAGGGCTGGGCTGGGCCTGGGGGGGCACCCAGGTGAAGGAGGGCAGGTGGGAGGGGGGTTGGGCACGGATTGCCATGGAGGCACCTCAGATTGGGTGCCTGGTGTGGGGAATTGGGGCAGAGGAGGCACAGTCCTGAAGTGTTTTAGGTGGGTTGAGAACTGCCCGGAGCCGGGCAGAGTTGGAGAGAGAAGTGAGAGGCATGGGATGGGGGGTCCTAGCAGAGCTGAGGGGTCTTAGTGGGAGCGGGTGGGGCGCTGGCAGTGGGGCCTTCGCCTGGGGTGGAGACTGTGCAGCTGGAATGGGTCCGAGGGGAGCGAGGCTGGGGGCGTCCAGGGTGAGGACTGAGTGAGCCGCTGGACTCTCACATCCAGACTCAGGGTGGAGGGTGCCAATCTAGGAGGCGCGAGGTGCTGGACCGTCACCCTGAGTAGGTTTTAAGTGGGTCTTTAGTGGATCTGGCCTGTTTGGAGGGCAGAGCCACCAGTTTGCAGGTGGGCGGGACGGGGGTCAGGGAGGGCCTTGAAGGGATGCTGGGAACATTCCCTGAACTGCTGGGAAGGTGATGGTGCCCTTCAGTGCCAAGCGGAAGGTGGGGAGGAGCCCACTGGGGAGGGGCATAGTCATTGCGTGATTCTGGGGCGGGAAGGTGTGTGGCGTGCAGGGGAAGGCTGGCCATAGGTCTGAACATGCAGGGCACGGCCCTCGCCTGTGGTTGAGGCTGCAGCTGGATGGGGCCCCAGGGAAGTGGGGCGTCCAGGGTGAGGACTGAGCGAGCAGCCGGACTCTCACATCCAGGCTCAGAGCGGAGGGTGCCAATCTGGGAGGCGGGAGGTGGTGGAATCTCCCTGAGTAGACTGGCACAGCTGCAGGAGTCTGGATGGAGCGGGCTGTGTCCCCTGCCCTCAGGGGTCTGTGTTGAACAGCCTGTGTCCCCTGCTGTCAGGACTCTATGCTGGTATCAAGTTCTTCCTCATCGATTTCATCTTTAAACGCTGCCCGAGGCTGCGTGCCAAGTACGACACGCCCTATATCATCTGGAGGAGCCTCCCCACCGACCCGCAGCTCAAGGAGCGCTCCAGTGCTGCCGTCTCGCGCAGGGTGAGCCCGGCCCCCAGCTGCGGGGGTAGCGGGATGGGGGGCCACGAAGCCGGACATCCCCAGGCCCACAGTGCTGTGTTCACCTCCGGCTCATTTAGAGGCTGTTTATTCAATTTTATGGAGTCTTTAAAATGTGAGGGTTTTTTCTTTCCCGTTACCACTGCGGTGTCTGAGGCCCATCCAGCCCCTCCCAAGCCCAAGGGAACACTTGGGGACTGGCCATGATGACTGAGAGCCAGCGGGCCTGGGAGTGGCCCTCCATGGGGGCGCCCGGCCCCTGCCATCCCTGACAGGTGAGGCTCTGGCACTGAGACCAGGCAGCTTGAGAAGGGCCCCCTTGGAGCCACAGGCTGGCCCTGGGCCATATTTCATTCAGTCACAGGCCCTCCAGATGTCCAGCACAGTGGCCCAGCCAGGGCCATGGGGAGTGAGTGGGCCTCGGTGCTCTCCCGGTGTTTCAGATGAGTCGGGAGGGTTACTGGGCTCTCCCCGCTGAAGTGAGGTGGCCCTGCCTGGAAGGAGCCGCGCTGGGCCAGAAGGGGCCTGGGGAATGTCTTCCCGAATTCAGATTCCAGCTTGTGGGGGGGTGTGCGTGCGGCCAGCGCATCTGGGTGCTGCGGACGTGGGCAGTGGGCCTGACCTCGCACTGTTTGCCGTTGGCAGCTGCAGACGACCTCATCACGGAGCTATGTGCCCAGCGCACCGGCCGGCCTGGGTAAAGAGGAGGACGCCGGCCGCTTCCACAGCACCAAGAAGGGCAATTTCCACGAAATCTTCAACCTGACAGAAAACGAGCGTCCGCTGGCAGGTATGTGTGCCGTGAGCCTGAGGCCAGGCCGAGCACAGGCACAGACTGAAGGCCCGTTGGGGGTGCTGTGGGTACAGGAGGAGGTTGCCCTATGACAGGCCAGAGGAGCCCTCGGGACAGCGTTCACATCCACTGCCCCAGGACCCCAGGAGGCAGTGCAGGAGCCGGGGGTCATGAGGACTCTGTGGGCTCCAGGGGAGGAGGGCGTGTCCGTGGGGAGAGCCACCCACGCTGTAGCACTCCCCTGAGAGCAGGCATGCAGGTGGCCCGCTGGGGACAGACTCCAGGGCGAGGCGTCAGGGCCGGCAGGGCGCTGGCAGGGGGTCTGCTCCTGGTTCCATCGTGTCTGGAGAAACAAGAGCTGCCAAGGGAGAGGTGACGCAGGAGCCTGGGGACAGGTCAGCCTTCCCAAAGGGAATTCCTGTTAAACTAAACCAGGCAGCCCGAGGTGTGTGCTGAGCGGCTGCAGAGGCAGCTGCGGAGAACTGAGTTTCGTCCTCTGCTGAGCCCTGGCACTGCCGGTCTTCATGGAGGTGGCGTCCTGGCCGCACTGTCACTTCTGTTGCTCCCTGCTCTGCCTGGCTGCTTTCACTTTAAAAACACTGCCAGTGCCTGGTGGAGAGGAAGCATCTGTTTTCCACCCTCCGCGGCCACCTCACTCTTGCCAGCGCGCCTTCCTCTCGCTGTGGGGGTGACGTGAGCGCAGTGGGTGGATGTCAGGATCTGAGAGTCAGGACTCCCGGGTCCCAGCGTCAGGTCAGAGGCTGGCTATTTCCAGTGGAAGGCGTGACGGGCGGGCCTTCTCCCATTAGTGTGCGAGAACGGCTGGCGCTGCTGCCTCATCAACAGGGACCGGAAGATGCCCACGGACTACATCAGGAACGGGGTGCTCTACGTCACGGAGAAGTGAGTGCGGCCGGGGGGCCCCGTGTGGCTGCAGGGGAGGGGGCACAGGAGGGGTTGCCTGGGCTCTGGGATGGCACGGCTGGCCCAGTGCAGGTTTTCCCGAGTGGCGGCTGTGGCCTCTCCCACGCTCTGCTCTTGCTGGCTGTCTGGGCTCCCAGGGGAAAAGTGTCACCTCCAAGCCGGACGTGGCCTGTGCCACACTGCTGTCCTCCCTCAGGCCGGCAGGGATGCTGTCTCCTCTGGGGCCCAAGCAGTTCATGGAGACCAGGGGCAGAGTCTCCCAAGGAGGGGACCGAGGCCCGTAGCTAGTACTGAGGCTCTGGGTCCTTGTTGCTGTCTGAGACACAGTAGCCAGAAGAGGACGTTGACTCTTCTCTTGCTACACTCCAAACCCCTGAAACCCCAGATGTGGGAGTGCGAGAGCTGGCCTGGGGATGGGATCTGTTCTCGGTCTTGCCTGACCCTCGGCCACCCCGTCCCCCACACCTGTAGCAGTGGCCAAGGCCCTGCCTCCTCTCTGCTTCTTGCAGAGGAGGTGACCTGGACACTCCCAGCTAGGGCTCCGGGACGCCTGTGTCACTCGCTGGGAATCCCAGGGGAATGGGAATCTCATTCCCAGCGTCCTGGGAACGGCAGTCTTAGGTTTCACACAGAGCGGTGGCCGTGAGTGTCTCACGGAGCAGTGACCACGAGTGTCTCACACAGAGCGGTGGCCACGAGTGTCTCACACAGAGCGGTGGCCACGAGTGTCTCACACAGAGCGGTGGCCGTGAGTGTCTCACACAGAGCGGTGGCCGTGAGTGTCTCACACAGAGCGGTGGCCGTGAGTGTCTCACACAGAGCGGTGGCCGTGAGTGTCTCACAGAGTGGTGGCCACGAGTGTCTCACAGAGTGGTGGCCACGAGTGTCTCACAGAGCGGTGGCCACGAGTGTCTCACACAGAATGGTGGCCACAAGTGTCTCACACAGAGCAGTGGCCGTGTGTCACACAGAGCAGTGGCTGTGTCTCACACAGAGCGGTGGCTGTGTCTCAGAGCGGTGGCCGTGAGTGTGTCACAGAGCAGTGGCCTTGAGTGTCTCACACAGAACGGTGGCCTTGAGTGTCACACACAGAGCGGTGGCCATGAGTGTCTCACCGGTGGCCATGAGTGTCTCACACAGAGCAGTGGCCATGAGTGTCTCACAGAGAGCGGTGGCCACGAGTGTCTCACAGAGCGGTGGCCACGAGTGTCTCACACAGAGCGGTGGCCACGAGTGTCTCACACAGAGCGGTGGCCACGAATGTCTCACACAGAATGGTGGCCACGAGTGTCTCACAGAGCAGTGGCCACGAGTGTCTCACACAGAGCGGTGGCCACGAGTGTCTCACACAGAGCGGTGGCCATGTCTCACACAGAGCGGTGGCCGTGAGTGTCTCACACAGAGCGGTGGCCACGAGTGTCTCACAGAGTGGTGGCCACGAGTGTCTCACAGAGTGGTGGCCACGAGTGTCTCACACAGAGTGGTGGCCACAAGTGTCTCACAGAGCGGTGGCCACGAGTGTCTCACACAGAATGGTGGCCACGAGTGTCTCACAGAGCGGTGGCCACAAGTGTCTCACACAGAGCAGTGGCCGTGTGTCTCAGAGCAGTGGCCGTGTGTCACACAGAGCAGTGGCTGTGTCTCACACAGAGCGGTGGCTGTGTCTCAGAGCGGTGGCCGTGTGTCACAGAGCAGTGGCCTTGAGTGTCTCACACAGAACGGTGGCCTTGAGTGTCACACACAGAGCGGTGGCCATGAGTGTCTCACACAGAGCAGTGGCCATGAGTGTCTCACAGAGAGCGGTGGCCGTGTGTGTCTCAGAGCGGTGGCTGTGTGTGTGTCTCACAGAGCGGTGGCCATGAGTGTCTTACACAGAGCGGTGGCCGTGTCTCACAGAGCGTGGCCACGAGTGTGTCTCACAGAGCAGTGGCCGTGTGTGTGTCACACATGCTGTGTCTGGTGGGGAGGGAGCGTCTCTGTTCATCCCACTGGGGGCTGAGGGGCAGCCGCGGGAGACCCCCACCTGGTGGGAGCACGCTCTGGTTCAAGAGCCAGGTGACGCCTCTGTCCGTTTCCCTTCCAGTTACTTGTGCTTCGAAAGCTCCAAATCCGGGTCCTCAAAGAGGAACAAAGTCATCAAGCTGGTGGACATCACGGACATCCAGAAGGTTGGTGAAGCCATCCACCCCCACCAGCCCCCGTGTTTTCTTCATCACCTGACAGCGGCTGGCGAGGCTTTCCATGTAGACCTCTGCCAGCCTCTGTCAGCATCTGGACACGGTGGCCGCGCTGGCCGGCCATGGTCCGGTTCCTTGGCTTGAGTCCCCGCATCGCTGTGGGTCAGCGCCTGCCCTGGGTCTGCTTGCCTGGACCTGTGTCTCAAAGTGGAGGGGCTGGGTTGGAGCCCATGAGGTCAGGCGCCCACGCCCTGCTCTGGCTACTGTGTTTCCCCCTTCCTCGTATCTGGGACCCTCCCCACAAAGAAAAGCACAGGGGCCCTGAGCTCTTGCCTCGGACGCAGGTTTTCAGGTGAGAGCTCAGATGATCGCACCCGCTCTGGGCATTTGCTCAGCATTTGACTGTCACATGGAATGAGTAGGTGGGCGTGGCCACAGGTGGCTGTGGTCCCTTGTTCTCTGGGACAGGGGAGGCTCAGTGAGGCACTGGCAGGCACACTCAGCCAGGGTGGTCAGGGCCCGCAGCTCCCTCCCAGCTCTGAGCGTCCTGGGCGTGTCTGCACTGGCCCCGGGGGCACTCTCGCCTCATGGCAGTTGTGGGTGATGTCTCCCATCCGGCTCTGGAAAAAAGTGTGCAGTCAGGTGACCAGAAGGGGTGAGTTCAGGGCTGGGGTCCTTTCAGCCTGCCTCTTGGGTTTGGCAGTGCTGACAGATGGCCCTCTGGTGCCAGGCCCTGAGAGCGAGTTCTGGGGCCCAGTGCCCACCGTCAGCCTCCTCGGGCCTGCTTGTCTCCAACCTTCCTCAGGCCAGCTGCCCGGCGGTCTGGGATGGGGTGGGACAGACCCTTTCCAGGTCTGGTGTCTCGGCCACAAAGTGAGGAGGTGCCCACAGGTCCTACCCTCTTGCTCGGAAGTCCTGGGTGCCCGTGGGCCCTGCCGCCTGTATGCCCAGCGGAGGAGGATGCCCTGGGCCTGCGGAGGCCTGTGGTGACAGCCACACTTGCCCTTTCAGTACAAGGTCCTGTCTGTCCTCCCGGGCTCAGGCATGGGGATCGCCGTGTCAACGCCATCCACTCAGAAAGTAAGTGCCGGGCGGGGGCCGCCCGGGGTCAGTGTGGGCCCAGGGGCCTGGCTCTGGGCAACCCTGGGACCAGCGTGGGGCAGCCAGCCAGAGGTTCGTTTGGGCAGCGGGGTCAGAAAGCCACCCCTCCCTCGCAGCAGCCGGAGCCTGGGGCTGCGTCCAGGTTGAGCTGGAAATCTTGCTGTGGCCATTGAGTCATGGGACAGACAGGGATGCCGGGCACGGGGGGCCCCGACTCAGAGACTCGGGAGGAGAGAGGCACGGGGCTGAAGCCTGGCTGTCCTCTGTCTCTTGGCTCCGTTTCCCTGAAAGCTGGAGCCTGGCTCCGGGTAGTCGGGGGACACCTGTCTTTGGCACCCAGACCCATGTGACTGCGTGCTGGCCTGGGGCTGGTCTTGGACTTCGTCTTGGTCCTGGTCCTGGCACCAGCCTGGCTGTGCCATGCTCACTGGTGGCATTTCTTCCCTGCCAGCCGCTCGTGTTTGGTGCCATGGTGCACAGGGATGAGGCCTTCGAGACCATTCTCAGCCAGTACATCAAGATCACCTCAGCGGCAGCGTCTGGCGGGGACAGCTAGTATTGACTTGCCTGGGACGTTGCTGGAATTTTTTTTTTTTTTTTTTTTTTTTAACAATTTGGTAGTGGAAGCAATTGGACATCCTCATGAGCTTTTGCAATAATTCTCCTGGACCTGCGGTTCTATTGTGTTGGCCTCTGCGTTTTATCGACCACGAAGGGGCCAGGGCTCACAGGGCTGGGGGCGCGTCTCTCCTGCAGGGCGCGGCAGGTGCCTCCGAGGGCCACCTGCAGACTGGGGGAGGGGAGAGGCCCTCGGGGGCCCGTAGAGAGGACGCACCGGACCCCTGTGCCAGCCTGGACAGAGAAACCTCTCCAGCCACCCCAGAGGCTCTCGCAACCTTGTGTCCCGCTCTGCAGAGGCCGGAAGCTCGTCCACCACCAAAGCCATAGCTGAAGAGTGCGGGGTCCTTCCTCCAGGGGACAGAAAGATGTCATCAAGGAGGGACATGGGGGCCTTTCACTAACCACCGAGAAGCAGGCCTGGCAGTCCTCCTTCCTCTTGCATGAGGCCCTCTTGAGGCATTTGTTCTTGGCGCCGGGCTGCAGCCGGGAGCCTGTCCCTGTCCCTGCCTGTGCTCCACGGGAGCAGGGAGGGTGAGAAGGGCCCACCCCGCACCTGCCCTCAGTGTCTTTGGTGGCGCCTTCCTTGCCGGCCTCCAGGGCGCTCAGCACCGCGTCTGTAAGGACCCGCCCGCAGCTCTCAGCCTGACACGCCAGCCAGGAGGTCTGTAGTCGGTGACCAGTAAGGGCACGGGATGGTGCAGGTAAAAGCACATCTTTCTCACACCTTGCTCTTTGGAAGGCCCAGGAGAACATCTGTGTAGGCCGTTGGAGGTGCTCTGAGCACCGTGGCCTGTCTGGCACGTGGTCTCCAGGCTGCAGTTGCCCTCTGAGCACCGTGGCCTGTCTGGCACGTGGTCTCCAGGCTGCAGTTGCCTGGGTTGGTTGGGGAAGGGAGTGGCCAGGAGTGTTCCGGGTCCATGGTGGCCCAGGCTGCAGCCGCCTTTGGGCCATGCCAGAGGCTCTCTGGCAGCCCCTGTGCGTCAGGGAACAACCGTGAGCCGAGCCCAGAGGCTCGGGCCTGCACTGCCTGCAGCCGCCGTGTGACAGTGTTCCCTCCCCCACGTGCCCAGCAAGTGCCAGTCCGGGCACAGACCCTCCCAGCCCCTGCCCCGCCCCAGGGAAGCCTGGGCTTCCCGGGAACAAGGTGGCATTTGTGGAGGGAGCGCCCGCAGGCCTGTTTGCTGGGGCCACCTGCACTGGCAAAGGGAGGGGAAGGCGGCCTGGGCGTCCTGGAAGGAGGTGGCCACCCCGCGGGCCTGAGCGTCTGCTGGGGCAGCTCCCTCAGCTCCCTCAGCCCCCTCAGCCTGTCCTGAGTCCCCTGGGTGTCGTTGAGATTGTTGTTTTTTGAAGAAACAGAAGATTATATTTTTTACAGAGAGCAAGCTGTTTTTCTTATTTTTGTATCATTTTTCAGATGTAATTTTTACCTTTGCTCCGATCCTCATTTGCTGGTGTGGGTGAGGGATCCGGTGGCACGGGCTGGTTTCACCCTCTTCACGAGGGGCCGCAGGGTCACACGCTGGTGCCGGGGGTGCTTTGGGGGGAGCCGCGCCGATCACCAGATTAAGCACATGTCCCATCCCGGGTGGTGGAGCGGAGCCCTCTTGGTTCTGGGCCGCATGGACGTCGGCGGCAGGATGACCGCGTGGCGGCCTTTCCCGAATGGGGCAGAACCTGCTCTGAGCCGGGGGTCTGGCCCTGTGGGAGACCAGCTGTCTTGGTGCACCAGGGGCGGGGGACATGCCCCAGTGAACCCCCCCTCGGCGCCTGGGGCAAGACAGGGTGGGCACCGACCCACCCCAGGGACGGCTGCAGAGGCCCTGCCCACAGACCATGGTCACCCCTCTCTCCTCAGGGCCCGGCTGTCCCCAAGGGTGGGTCCGGGGCCTCGGGGCCAGTGAGCGCCTCTTCTCAGGTGCTGGGATTCGGTCCCCAAACACAGCGGGAGGGGTCCCTGGGGCAGATGAGGCTTCTTTACCAGAGTCGGGTGGTTTAGTTCGAGTCCCTTTTGTGGAGAAAGGGAGATGAAAACTGACCACGTGCCAGGTGTGGCCGCAGCCCCCCAGGGAGGGCCGCGTTCGGGGAGCAGGGGGAGGGGGAGGGCCACCAGGTTGGCTCTGCTGCCAGCACAGTCCCTCCTGGAAGTCCTCGGGAGCGGGGCGCAGACCGGCACAGGCTCTGGGCTCCCCATGGAGAGAAGCTGTAGTTTTTACCAAATTGTGTACATCTGGGCAGATGTTTAATTTCTATGACTAATCCCTGAACTAGATGAATGTTAAATTTTTTATGTCTGAAGCCTGAGTCTATTTTGGGTCTGTAAATAATCATTGCCAGTGTGACTTTTGTTCAACAAAAGGATTGTACTGTATTAAGAACTGATGAAAAAAAATTCTCCCGTAACATTTTTTTAAGAAAACTTTGTTTGTTTAAAGAAAAAGTCTTGTATAAATTATAATTTTTATTTAAATAAACCTAAAAATGCTTTGTGCTAAGGCTCAGGGCTGTCTGCCTCCTTGGCAGGGCCACACGCATTGCAGGTGGCCTGAGCCACCTGGGCCACCAACCCGAGGCCCTCAGTGCCCGCTGCTCCCTGGGGCCCCACGGCTGCTGAGGGCAGGGCGTTCGGGTACTGATGCAGCCTGAGTGACGGCTGTGGGGTGAGGTGGGGCTGAGAAGCAGTCCTGTTGGATGTGGGCATTGGAGGCTGGGAGCAGGAGGCAGGGCCTGAGTTCCAGAAGACAGGAGGCCAGGTGGCGAGGGACGCAAGGAGGGTACCCAGGGCTGGCACAGGACGAAGTGGGGGAGGGGGAGGCAGGCAGCGCCTTGGGGTCAGGGTGCGTGTGGGCTTTGGCCCCTCTCCACTGTGGTGTCCTGGCTGCCTGGGGGTCCTGGACAGAGGGGTTTCCAGCAACACTTGGGGCTTGGTGCATCCGGATGCTGATACCAGACACAGAAGGGTACAAGGATCTGTCTGGCTTTTGAAACCCCTGGAGTTGGGCATAGGCCTGTGCCAGGTGCACCTGGTGCTGCCTAGCCTCCTGCACCTCAAGCCCACAGGAGCCCCCTAGGAGGCAGAGACCTCCCCAGGTTACACAGCGAGGGAGCTGGAGCCAGGAGGAAACCAGGTCTAGTGGGCCATGCCACCCTAAAGGGCACAGCTTCAGAAAGTAGGACATGTGCATGCTCCATTGACATAGCCAGCCAGCCACTGATCCATCCATTCATCCACTGATCCATCCATCTGTCCGTCCATCCGTCCATCTGTCCATCCATCCATCCACCCACCCACTCATTCATCCATGTATCCACCCACTCACCCACCCATTCATCCATCCATCCGTCCATCCATCCACCTACCCACCCATCAATCCATCCATCCACCCATTCATCCACCCATCCATCCATCCATCATCCATCCATCCATCCATCCACTCATCCACCTATCCATTCATCCGTCCATCCACCCATCCACCCACCCACCTATCCATCCACCTATCCCATTCATCCATCCATCCACCCCCCCATTCATCCATCCATCCATCCACCCACCCACCTGTCTGTCCGTCTGTCCTTCCATCCATCCATCCATCCACCCACCCACCCCACCCATCCATTCATCCATTCATCCATTCATCCATCCATCCACCCACCCACCTATCCATACCCCTACCCCCCATCCATCTATCATCCATCCATCATCCATCCATCCATCCATTCATCCATCTATCCATCCATTCATCCATCTATCCATCCATCCATCCATCTATCCATCCATCCACCCACCCACCCACCTGTCCGTCCGTCCGTCCGTCCGTCCGTCCATCCATCCACCCACCCACCCATTCATCCATCCATCCATTCACCCACCCACCTACCCATACACCTACCCACCCATCCATCTATCCATCCATCATCCATCCATCCATCCATCCATCCATCCATCCACCCACCCACCCACCCACCCATTTACCCACCAGCCAGCCAGCCATGCATAGCAGGCCCTGTCCTTGGTGCTGGGACACAGCAGTGATGGGCTAGGAACCTGCCAAACACACCCTCACATTCTTCCCAAGAACACATCCATCCTGTGGTACCCACCGACCCCTTCCATCCACCCCTCTGTCCTCTTCGCAACAGGGCCTCCCTGCGCTTGCTTCTAACTCGGAACAAGGCTCAGACCTACCTAACCCGTGGCAGCCCACACTGACCCCTCCATGCAGATGGGGCAGTGCGGGCCCATGGCGGGTGTCACGGGAGCTGGGCCATGGAGGAGGCAGAGGGGCCTCCCAGGGGCTTCTGAGTGCTCAGTAAGGCCAACCTTGTGGGAGACCACCCACCCTCGGCCCACAGACTCTATGCCTAAAACCGACAGCTTGCCTGTTTTGCATATATTTCATCATTTAATGTCAATAAAAGTGCCTATATATACCTCTGTCGCCATTCACGGGTGATTGTGATAACGATTTCAGTACGGTTGGTTTCCTTGGCAGTCATGCATGTTTTAATGCATGTGTTTTACATTGCTCAGGGGCATCTCTTGGCTGTACCTGGCAACCACAGGGGCTGTGGAACGAAGGAAAGGTCACAAACCTGTGGGGCAGGCCTGGTGCTCTCTAGGACTTTTATTCTGGGGGTGACGGGGTGCTGCAGAGCTTCCAGCAGAAGCTGGCACTCTGCCAATCAGAAGAGGGGTCACCCAGGGTGGGGGTGCGTCAGGGACAGTCCAGAGGGGAATGAAATTGTTAATGATTTTATTATTGAACCAGGGGTTCTCTTCATAGGTACTTGCTATGTGTTTTTAAATATTTAGTGGATGAATGTAATGAATGAATGAGTAAATCAATCCGAAAGGACCACACGTGGACCAAAGTGAGCGACGCTGGCAACCCAGGGTTGTGGTCCATTCTGCTCGCCCTGCAGAACGCCAGGAGGCAGCGCTCCATGGGCTTATGAGCTCCAGCAGCGGTTGGAGGACAGGGTTGGCCAGAGACTACAGGAGCCACAGACTAAGGGCACAGCCAAGGAAGGACCCCAAGACCCCGTCGTGTATGGGCGTGAGCTGGGAAAGCCACCTGGGGAAAGGACTGTACGCTGCAGCCGCCCGGCGCCGCTGAAATCCGAAATCTGCCCTCAAAACCCCTGGAACCGGGAAGCCCAGCTCTGCCGTCCTCCAGGGGCCCTCGGGTCCATGTCAGCTGGAAGGGAGACACCTGGGATCACAGAGGGGCAGTGGGGTGGGGCCACAGCCAAGAGGCAGTGATGGACAGCTGACCCCCTCCCTCAGACAGGAGCTGGCCCAGGCGCCTGCCATCATCTCTGCTCTACTCGGTACCAGATGTCACAGCTGGCATCGCAAGCGAGGGGAAATAGCTGGACCATGCACGATTGTAAAGAAGACCCTCGGCTGTTACTATTTGTAAATGATGTGATGACAGAAAACCCCCAAATTCACAGGTAAATTATCATAATAGGAGTGTGGAAGTTGCTGGTACAAAATGAGTCAGGGGAGGCCGTGAAGAAGCTCTCACAGGCCTGCCTGTAGCACAACTCACCCCAGGACCCTCGGGACTGCGACGAGGGCGCCCACCCAGCGACAGCCACTCCCGCAGTGAACAGTACTGCCTCGTGCCAGGAGCTGCTGCGACCTGTGACCTTTGTTCTAGAGCAGCTTACGTGGACTTCTTTGCCTTTTAAAGTGTCGCCTTTATCCCGAACACCCCCCAAAATGCCTACTGGCGTAGCATGCACATCCCGACTGCAATCCCTTTGCTGTTCCTGAATAAACTCTTTCTTAGGAGAGCTCTCTGATGTCACTTTAGGTTGACGGGAGGCAAGGTTTCTGGATATAACCCAACACATAAAAAACAATTGTGGCGGGCAGATCATGAGGTCAGGAGTTTGAGATCAGCCTGGACAACATGGGGAAACCCCATCTCTACTGAAGATACAAAAAACTAGCTGAGTGTGGTGGCACGCACCTATAATGCCAGCTACTCGGGAGGCTGAGGCAGGAGAATCGCTTGAACCCTGGAGGCGGAGGTTGCAGGGAGCCGAGATCGCATCATTGCACTCCAGCCTGCGCGACAGGGCGAGACTCCGTCTCAAAACAAACAAAAAAAAAATTGCATTTCTATGCAAAACAAAACAAATTTTAAGACAGCCTCAAAGGCCAGGTGTGGTGGCTCACACCTGTAATCCCAGTGCTTTGGGAGGCCAAGATGGGAGGATCTCTTGAGGCCAGGAGTTTGAGACCAGGCTGGGCAACATGGTGAGACCCTGTCTCTACAAAACATTAATGGAAAAAAAAAAAAAAGCCTCAAAATATGAACTTTTGGCTGGGCGCAGTAGCTCACTCCTGTAATCCCAGCAGTTTAGAAGGCTGAGGTAGGAGGATTGCTTGAGCCCAGGAATTCAAGACCAGCCTGGGCAACAGAGTGAGACCCTGTCTGTAGAAAAAATTTTTTAAAAAATAGCCAGGCATGGTGTTGCACGCCTGTAGTCCCAGCTACTCAGGAGGCTGAGGTGGGATCGCTTCAGTCCGAGAGACTGAGGTTACTGTGAGCCGTGATCATGCCGCTGCACTCCAGCCTAAGCAACTGAACGAGACATTGTTTACAAAAATGAAAAACAAGTTTTAGGAATAAATCTAAAAATTTAAAGACTTTCATGGAAAAACTATAAAATAATTGAAAGACATGAATGAGGATCTATATAAATGGAAATAATGTCATGTTCATGGACTGGAAAAGTCAGTTTCACAATGCAAATGTCCTTTCAAAGGTCCTCAAATACAAATGCAAATGCCCTCTCAAACATGTGGAGAGGGCCGGGCGCAGTGGCTCACGCCTGTAATCCCAGAACTTTGGGAGGCTGAGGCGGGCGGTTCACAAGGTCAGGAGATCGAGACCATCCTGGCTAACACAGTGAAACCCCGTCTCTGCTAAAAATACAAAAAAAAATTAGCTGAGCGTGGTGGTGGGCACCTGTAGTCCCAGCTACTCGGGAGGCTGAGGCAGGAGAATGGCGTGAACCTGGGAGGCGGAGCTTGCAGTGAGCTGAGTTCACGCCACTGCACTCTAGCCTGGGCGACAGAGCGAGACTCTGTCTCAAAAAATAAATAAATAAACAAACAATAAACATGTGGAGTGAAAGAAGTAAGTTACAGAAGACAACACGTTTCCTTTGGCTAAAGAGCAAAACCTGCATAACTAAACTCGCTGCTGGGGATACAGCCATGGACAGAGGCAGGAAGGCTTAGCGTGAAATGGGAGCGCCCTCCGAGGGGGAGCAGGGGGCCTCCAGAACAGGGCACAGAAGGCTTTAGGGCAGCGTTCAGTTTCCTGGCATAGGTGGTGGTGACACCTTGGTTCATTTTATTCTTGTTCTTTAAATTGTGTGTGTTTTCATGAAAAATATTCTGCTTTGAAAATAACAGGTATGTGTAAAGGAAAGAAAGCAAGGCAAGTCTGCCCAAGTAACTTTATTTGTGTCTTC